AGAAAGGAAGAGGGAGAGAGAAAGAGGGAGAGGGGGAGAGGGAGAGAGCAAGAGGTGGGGTGAGAAAGGAAGAGGGAGAAGGAGAGGGTGTGTGTGGGAGAGAGAGTGGGAGAGGGAGAGGCGACAGAAAGGGAGAGGGAGACAGGGAGAGGGTGGGGTGGGGGAAAGAGAGGGAGAGGGAGAGAGAAAGGGAGAGCGGTAGAGAGAGGGAGAAGGTGGAGAGAGAGGGGGGAGAGTGAGAGAGAGGGGGAGAGCAAGAGGGTGGGGGGAGAAAGGAAGAGGGAGAAGGAGAGAGGGTGTGTGTTGGAGAGAGAGAGCAGGAGAGGGAGAGAGAAAGAGGGAGAGGGGGAGAGAGGGAGAATTAGCAGACCATTGCTCTCTACGTCATTTTATCGAACCTATGTGCACCCTGGTATTCTGTTGACAAATGCTGTAAACATCTGTTGCCTATCCATTAGCCCTTTGAGGTAGTCCAGACAAGAAGCCCTACCACGAATAATGGGGGAATCAGTTTGGTTTAGTGATGGTCTAGTCACCAGGAGATGGTGAGTTCTAGTACGGCCTTAGGCATGAAAGCCAGCTGGGCAATATTGGACCAATCACCAGGAGACGGTAAGTTCTAGTCTCGCTTTAGACATGAAAGTTGGCTGAGATTACTCTGGGCCCATCATCAGGAGACTGCCTTAGGGACGAAAGTCAGCTGGCTGACGTTTGGGCAATCACCAGGAGACAGTGAATTCTAGTACCGCCTTAGGCCAGAAAGCCATCTCGGTGACTTTAGGCCAGTCATTTTTCTTCAGCCCAGCCCACCTCACAAGATTGTTTTTGTGAGGAAAAGAGGAGGAGGAAGGAGTATTATGTATGCTCCCCGCCTTGAGTGAAAAAGAATAAAGGCGGATACAGATAAATAAATATAATTTTAAAATAATTTTAAAAGAAACATCTTAATAAACCTATCCAGGTCCAAGAAAGCTTTAAAGCAGGGGTCTTCAAACTTGGCCCTTTTATGACTTGTGGACTTCAACTCCCAGAATTCCTCAGCCAGGCACACTGGCTCAGGAATTCTGGGAGTTGAAGTCCATATGTCATGAAGGGGCCACAGTTCCCCCATGTTGGCTGAGGAATTCTGGGAGTTGAAATCTACAAGTCATAAAAGGGCCATAGTTCCCCCATGCTGGCTGAGGAATTCTGGGAGTTGAAGTCCACGAGTCATAAAAGGGCCATAGTTCCCCCATGCTGGCTGAGGAATTCTGGGAGTTGAAGTCCACAAGTCATGAAGGGGCCACAGTTCCCCCATGTTGGCTGAGGAATTCTGGGAATTGAAGTCCACAAGTCATGAAGGGGCCACAGTTCCATGTTGGCTGAGGAATTCTGGGAGTTGAAGTTCACAAGTCATAAAAGGGCCATAGTTCCCCCATGCTGGCTGAGGAATTCTGGGAGTTGAAGTCCACAAGTCATGAAGGGGCCACAGTTCCCCCATGTTGGCTGAGGAATTCTGGGAGTTGAAGTCCACAAGTCATAAAAGGACCAAATTTGAAGACCCCTGCTTTAAAGCTAAGGTTCTGATTCCAATCCGGACCAATTCTGGCTAAGATTTAGACTTTGTCGCTACAGGCAAAATAATCTTGGTTTCAATTTGCAGGGGTTTTACCTCATCCCCTCTAACGGTTACCTGAGGTGCATTAAAGGAGCAGGCTTACTTTTATGGCTTCCACCAGAGGTTCGTAGAGATCTGGAAATCCCGAGAAGCAGAAAAACATGCAGTGGATCAATTCGGCCAGCTGATCCAAACACCGGGATGCCGAATTGGAATTCTCCTTTTGAAGGGCAGCCACCACTCTGGGAATATGTGGCAGAAGCTGTCAGAGGAAATAAAATATTGAGAGGCATCAAGGAATGGAATGGGTACCCAAGGAAAAGGGTGAGCAAATGGCGAAGGGTGAAAAACAAGGCAATCCAGAGATCTAACTGCAATAAATATCGCAGGATCCAGTCTGGGTCGGTCTTCCGAGTTTTTGGATTCATGTTGAAACCCTCCCTTAGGGAATTAGACAGACTTGCATCTGTGATTTTTCCTGCCTAGGTGTAAAACCTTGCTTTTCTCCACATTAGATAACCTTTATTGTCATTTTATTTTTCCTGTGGGCACAATGGCACACATTAAAAATGAAATTTAGTTGCTTCCTCTCCAAGTGTACAAAGACACAACACACGCTTAAAAGATACTATATACAACATATGTATAGACCAGAGGTAGGCAACCTTGGCTCTTTTATGACTTGTGGACTTCAACTCCCAGAATTCCTGAGCCAGCCATGCTGAGGGGAAAGGGAGAGGTTTCCAAGCTGAGCCATGCTGGCTCAGGAATTCTGGGAGTTGAAGTCCATGAGTCATAAAAGAGCCAAGGTTGCCTACCTCTGGTTTAGACCTACACCCTTACATATAAGGAACGGTTGCTGGAATTGGGAATGTCTAGTTTAATGAAGAGAAAGACAAAGGGGTGACATGATAGCAGTCTTCCAATATCTCAGGGGCTGCCCCAAAGAAGAGGGAGTCAAGCTGTTCTCCAAAGCACCTGAAGGCAGGACAAGAAGCAACGGGTGGAAACTCATCAAGGAGAGAAGCAACCTAGAACTCAGTAGAAACTTCCTGACAGAACAATTAATCAGTGGAACAACCTGCCTCCAGAAGCGGTGAATGCTCCAACACTGGAAGTTTTTAAGAAGAGACTGGGTAGCCATTTGTCTGAAATGGTGTAGGGTTTCCTGCCTGAGCAGGGGGTTGGACTCGATGACCTCCAAGGTCCCTTCCAACTTTATTGTTGTTGTTATTATTATTATTATTATTATTATTATTATTATTATTATTATTATTAAGGGTCATTGCACAGTCAGCCAGATGTTCAGACTGGATTTGGCATTTTGTCTACCTATCGAGTATTATTATTATTATTATTATTATTATTATTATTGTTGTTGTTGTTGTTGTTGTTGTTGTTGTTATTGTTATTATTGTTGTTGTTGTTGTTGTTGTTGTTGTTGTTATTAAGTAACATATAAATATTGATCATTAAAATTCAGGTTGTTGGATAGGGCCCGTTGTTCAAGCCTTGTCAAGATCTTTTTGGAACCTGAGCTTCTTCTGCAACATTATCCTGGGACAGGCATATTGGCTTTCATTCTCGATAAATATCCATATAAGCCGGCCAGAGACCCAAAGCAATACACGACTGATTGAAACAGGGATTCATTTCCTTTACCAGGTGAAATGCTTCGTGAGAGTGTTGGAAACTCAGCAGCATGTAACGCAGAATAGAGACAGCCCCCTCTCTCAGTATAGGGTAGAGCAGCTTGGAAAACACCTGAAAAAACAGCAAAATAAAGATTTAAGGGAAGTAGATCGGCAGAATCAGGATAAACACAATTCCTACAGCATCATCTCCGGCCTGATAAGAGATGCTGTGCAAGACCGGGACTGGAGTCTGGAGAATGTAAAGCATGAAAGCCGTCTGGGTAATTTTGGGCCAATCACCAGGAGACGGTGAGTTCTAGTCCCGCCTTAGGTATGAAAACCTGCTGAGTGACTTTGGGCCAATCACCAGGAGACGGTGAGTTCTAGTCCCGCCTTAGGCAGGAAAAGTGGCTGGGTGACTTTAGGCCAATCACTATGAGACGGCGAGTTCTAGTCCCTCCTTAGGCATGAAAGCCAGCTGGGTGACTTTGGGCCAATCACCAGGAGACTCTGAGTTCTAGTCCCGCCTTAGGCATGAAAGCCAGCTGGGTGACTTTGAGCCAGTCCCTCTCTCTCAGCCCAACCCACCTCGCAGGGTTTTTATTATGGAGAAAATAGTGGAGGAAGGAGTATGAGATAAGTTCATCACCTTGAGTTATTTATAAAAATGATCAAGGCAGGATACAAGTAGCAAAGCCAAACTAGTTAAAAATCACAGCAGTATTATTAGTGTCACCCAGTGGATCCCAACCGTTCACTCACTGTTGGGTGGGATTCATACCAAAGACTCCGTGGAATTTGCCTTGAATCCAGAAAAAGTTCGATACTTATGATCTGAAGTGGGGAAATCGGCTTTGCTGATCTTTTGGGATTCTCGTTTACAGCATTTCCTGCCTGAGCAGGGGGTTGGACTAGATGACCTCCAAGGTCCCTTCCATTATTATTATTATTATTATTATTATTATTATTATTATTATTATTATTATTATTACATCAATGGTCAGGTAAACAAAGGAGTTTTCTAGGGGAATTTGCTGATGACTTACCTACAAAAAAAACTAATCAAGGGGAGAAGAAACCTAGAACTAAGGAGAAACTTCCTGACAGTGAGAACAATTAACCAGTGGAACAACCTGCCTCCAGAAGTGGTGAATGCTCCAACACTGGAAGTTTTTAAGAAGAGACTGGACAGCCATTTTGTCTAAAATGGTATAGGGTTTCCTGCCTGAGCAGGGGGTTGGAGTAGATGACCTCCAAGGTCCCTTCCAACTTTACTACTACTACTACTACTACTACTACTACTACTACTACTACTACTATTATTATTATTATTATAAATCCTGGCTGTATTCCAGTTAAAAATACCTTAATATTTTTACTGTAAGGGTTAGCAGAAACCCCAAAACAACAACGCAGAGATGGCCAGAATAAGTACATCGCTAGTCAAAGATAGGCTGGGGGTGGGGCTCAGCCTTGGGGGGGGGGTGTAAACCAGGATAAGAAACACAACTACAGGTAGTCCTTGACGTACAACCACCACTGAGCCCAACAACTCTATTACTAAGCAAGGCAGTTGTTGACTTCAGAGATGCTGCAACGGTCGTAACTGTGAAAAACAGTCCCGCGACACTGTTTTTAATGCCGTCGTAACTTTGAACGGTCACTAAATGAAGGGTTATAAGTTGAGGACTTATACCAGTGCAGTATAGCGCATGGAGCGTTGTCACAGAGACACGGGCCCAGAAACAAAATTGTGATTTTTTTCATTGGTCTCCCTCCTTGACAACACAATAGGGTAAAGACATAGGAAGGATCAAACCGACTCGCTCAATTTTGGAAAGCGTGACTTCCATCAGGATGCTGAACTTCTTCACTGCCGCCAAGTTCTTCAGCAAGGCGATGATCCATTTGTCCAAGTTCTTCCCCAGGGGCCAGGAGACCCATTCAATCATCCTGCAGGGAGAAAGATGGAGAGAGAGAGAGAGAGAGTTGAATCAGCCCAAGCCAGCTTCAGAGAGGCAGATTCAGACATGGAGCCATTCCCGAGATCCTGAAGAACGATGGGAACTGAGAAGAAATCCTATCTAATGCATATGTGAGGAGGGTGGAGGAGGAGGGAGAGGAAGAGGAAAAGGAGAAGGAGGAGGAGGAGGAGGAGGAGGAGGAGAGAAGGGAGAGGGAGGAGGAGGAGGAAGAAGAGGAAGAGGAAAAGGAAAGGAGGAGGAGGAGGAAGAGAAGGACGATGGGAGGAGGAGGGAGAAGAGAAAAAGGCGGAGGAGGAGGAGGAGGAGGAGGAGAAGAAGAGGAGGAGGAGAAGGAGGGAGAGGAAGAGAAAAAGGAGGAGGAGGAGGAGGGAGAAGGGGAGGAGGAGGAGGAGGGAGAAGGAGAGGAGGAGGAGGGGAAAGAGAAGGAGGAGTTGGAGGAAGAGGAAGAGGAGGAGGAGGGGAGGAGGAGGGAGAGGAAGAGAAAAAGGAGGAGGAGGAGGAAGAGGAGGAGGAGAAAGAGAAAGAGAAAGAGAAGAAGGATGGGCTCTAACACACATCTGAACACGGGTGCAGAGAAGAGCAACAAAGATGATTAGGGGACTGGAGGCTAAAACATATAAGGAAAGGCTGCTGGAATTGGGTATGTCTAGTTTAATGACATACTCTGGAATGAACTACCCCCCGAGATCCGGATGATTCCGGATCTCCTTACTTTCCGCCGCGCCCTCTTCTGTACCGAAAAAGTCGTTCGCCCGGACTGGATCCCTCCTAAAATCCGTCCCTATTAAAATTTTCATAAAATTAACCTTTGTGTCGAACATTATAAACCAAAATTAAGCCGAAAATAGCCCCAAATAAAAGTGTATTTTTGTATTTTTGTATTTTGTAATTTTTTTGTATTTTGTGTATATTATTTGTTTTTAATATTGCTGTGAACCGCCCTGAGTCCTATGGGAGAAGGGCGGTATACAAATTAAAATAATAAATAAATAAATAAATAAATGAAGAGAAGGACGAGGGGGGATATGAGAGCAGCGTTCCAGTATCTCAGGGGCTGCCCCAAAGAAGAGGGAGTCAAGCTATTCTCCAAAGCGCCTGAAGGCAGGACAAGAAGCAACGGATGGAAACTCATCAAGGAGAGAAGCAACCTAGAACTAAGGAGAAACTTCCTAACAGTGAAAACAATTAATCAGTGGAAAGGCTGTGGGTACTCCATCCTTGGAGGTTTTTAAGAAGACAACTATTTGTGTGAAATGGAATAGGGGGTTGGACTAGAAGACCTCCAAGGTCCCTTCCAACTTTGTTATTCTGTTATTCTGAGTCTGAAGACTTAAATCTCTGGTCCCGGTGACCAACCCAGATTGGATCACTAGTGACTTTCTATTTCTCCTCACCTTCCAATCGCGGTCATCATCTGAAGGTCAGTGATGCTGTCGTCGTTGGTGAGGTTTCTTAGGATGCCATCCATCAGCTCCAGCGGAACGTACTGGACCACGCTGGCTAAGGCAATCGAGGGATCCTGGTCTTCTGCAAAACATTAGCAGGGACAGGCAAACCACTTGGAAGTTGAAACTTCGCGAACCGCAAGCATAGTTTTTCTCGGGGTTTTGCCCACTGAGAATCATTAAGACACAGGCAAGTCACAAATTGTACCTTAGGACGGTTTAAGAAGCTACGGCAGGGGTCCCCAACCCCCGGGCCGTGGACCAATACCGGTCCGCGGCATGCCAGCAACCGGTCCGCACAAACAAAGCCCCATTCGCGAGATGCAGGCAACACACAAAACCACGCACCCTCCGGTCCACGGAAAAATCTCTCTCCACGGAACCGGTCCCTGGTGCCCAAAAGGTTGGGGACCTCTGACCTAAGGGACAGGGTGGCTGTAGGCAGATAGTCCTTGACTTATAACCATAACTGAGCTCGCAATTTCAATTATAAGCTCCTATGTCATAAAGCCACCAGATGATCACGCCTGATTTTACGGCCATTTTTGCTCAAGCAGGAGACCCTATACCAGGGGTCCCCAACCTGTGTGGGCCACAGCCCACTACCGGGCTGTGGCCTACTGGCCACCGGGCCGCATGCGTGGCTGGTCGGCGTACATGTGTGCGCGCACAGCCCCACTCATGCGAGCGTCGCCACACACGAGCGTTGTGGGCGTTCGCAGTCCTGCTCACGCGAGCAACAGGCATTTGTGCGTGAGCATAAGTGTGCACACGCGTTTACCCCTCCCAAAACCATCCTTTCTTCTTTCTCCCGTCCTCCCTCTACTCCAGGCCGTCAACCCCGAAAGGTTGGGGAACCCTGCCCTGTACTCTGTTCTGGGCCCAGTGCTCTTCTTGTAGAAGTAGTTGCTAGACCTGCTCCCCTATCTACCCCTTGAGTAGTTTAAACGTCTGCTGTGGTTCGACCGTCCTTATCGGTTGTGAGGTCTTCTGTCCGAATCCTATGTCCTCCTAGACCTGTCTGAACTTGTGACCCGCGATAGATTGTTTTACTTTAAGTTACCACTTAAAAGTAAGGTTCTACATTTAGGCAGGAAAAAACAAATTTACAGGTATAGTATAGGGGGTACCTTGCTCAATAGTAGTAACTGTGAGAGGGACCTCGGAGTCCTAGTGGACAATCACTTAAATAGGAGCCAGCCGTGTGCTGCAGCTGCCAAAAAGGCCAACACAGTGCTGGGCTGCATTAACAGAGGGATAGAATCAAGATCACGTGAAGTGTTAATACCACTTTACAATGCCTTGGTAAGGCCACACTTGGAATATGGCATCCAGTTTTGGTCACCACGATGTAAAAAAGACGTTGAGACTCTAGGAAGAGTACAGAGAAGAGCAACAAAGATGATTAGGGGACTGGAGGCCAAAGCATATAAGGAAATGCTGCTGGAATTGGGCATGTCTAGTTTAACGAAGAGAAGGACGAGGGGGGACATGATAGCAGTCTTCCAATATCTCAGGGGCTGCCACAGAGAAGAGGGAGTCAAGCTATTTTCCAAGGTGCCTGAAGGCAGGACAAGAAGCAACAGATGAAAACGAATCAAGGAGTGAAGCAACCTAGAACTAAGGAGAAACTTCCTGACAGTTAGAACAATTAACCAGTGGAACAACCTGCCTCCAGAAGAGGTGAAAGCTCCAACACTGGAAGTTTTTAAGAAGAGACTGGACAGCCATTTGTCTGAAATGGTATAGGGTTTCCTGCCTGAATAGGGGGTTGGACTAGATGACCTCCAAGGTCCCTTCCAACATCATCATCATCATCATCATCATCATCATCATCATCATCATCATCATCATCATCATCATCATCATCATCATTATTATTATTATTATTATTATTATTATTATTTCAGACAAATGGCTCTCCAATCTCCAGCGTTGGGGCCCCCATAATTTCTGGAGTCAAGTCATTCCACTGATTTTGGTTTCCCTTGCGGTCGTAAGCTGAGGATTACCTGTAAAGCATTATCTCAAACCAATGTATATAAAGACACCCCTCCCTACCTATTGTCGATATGATGGTGAAGAGTTCCTTCAGAGAAGGGAGGATGGAGGTCATCTGAGTTTTCCAGATTTTCTGCAGCAAAAGGGTGACTTGGATCACCTGGTCCAAAAATTCCATAATGGCGTCTTCCCGTCCTGAGCTGGTATGGAATTGCCCGATGCACCGTATCAGTTGTTGGCAAAAAAGGGTTTGGCGTTTGCCGGTGGGCACGCACAGCGGGTAGTGAGATAAGAGCTTACTGATCTTCACACATTGCTTCAGGCCCGGCCTCTCACAGATCTTCCGTAGGACTTCTGTCCTCAGTAGACTGAAGACGTCGTTGGCCGAAGGGCCGTCCATCACGAAGGGCAATCCGAGATGGATGTAATCAAAGATGTACACGCTTCTCTTCCCGAGAGGTCCATAGCCTTCCTGGAGGAGATTTAAGAGGAACTGAGCGTTGAAGAATTCTTCAAAGGCCTCTTGGTGGTAAAGTCCACAGACTTCCAGGATCTCCTTGCCCACGGACCTCTTGAATTTGGTATCGCCCAAGAGAAAGAGTTTGGTGGAAAGTTCCAGCATTGACCAACACTGTTCGGTGTCCATGGTCCTCTTCAAAGCCTCTATGATACGTCTCACCAGACCTTGTTTCATGTGATCAGGGTAGGAAGAGGCCAGGATGGCTTCCAGAATTTTATCCATGTTGGCTTCTTGGATGTCCTCAAAGAAGATCAGACATCTTCATCCCCTCCTGCCTGGAATGGAGATATTGGGTTACACATAATTATAATGACAGTATATAAATAAGAGAAAAAGAAGTCCCAAGGAGTCCCAATATTTTTGGAGGGTCTACATCCAACCATTACAAAAACAAAAATGATCAAATCTGGACAATTTCCATCTATTGCTTCCTGTTCTGTCTTTAGGTGCTTTGGAGAATAAGTTGACCCCCTTTTCTTTGGGGCAGTCGCTCGAATATTGGAAGACTGCCAATTTTGTTTGCAAGCAAACAACCTGTTGTCCTTATGCTCTAAGAATTTGTATGTTCTCACATGGACAATCACTTAAATATGAGCCAGCTGTGTGCTGCAGCTGCCAAAAATAGTAATGCAATCCCAGGCTGCATCAACAGAGGGATAGAATCAAGATCAAATGAATTACTAATACCACTTTACAATGCATCCACTTTTGGTCACCAAAATATTAAAAAGATGTTGAGACTCTAGAAAGAGTGCAGAGAAGAGCAACAAAGATGATGAGGGGACTGGAGACTAAAACATATGAAGAACATTTTCAGGAACTAGGTATGTCTAGTGAAAAGAAGGACAAAGGGGTGACATGATAGCAGTCTTCCAATATTTGAGGGGCTGCCCCAAAGAAGAGGGGGTCAAGCTATTCTCCAAAGCGCCTGAAGGCCGGACAAGAAGCAATGGGTGGAAACTAACCAAGGAGAGAAGCAACCTAGAACTAAGGAGAAATTTCCTGACAGTGAGAACAATTAATCAGTGGAACAACCTGCCTCCAGAAGCGGTGAATGCTCCAACACTGGAGGCTTTTAACAAGGGATTAGACAGCCTGGGATGGTACCTATAGGGTCTCCTGCAGGGGGTTGGACTAGAAGATCTCCAAGGTCCCTTCCAGCTCTCTTATTCTATTATTCTGAGATATTTTTTGGAAGTAGAATCTGCACAAAACTAACCCTTTCTTTTGAAGCGTACCATCTTCTGACGTTCTTTCTCACTCCGCGCACAAGCAGACAGAGTTAAAACGATGTGGTTCAAGAGACACACATATACGTGTGTGTGTGTGTGTGTGTGTGTGTGTGTGTGTGTGTACTCAGGAGGAGAGATGTTCTGCATCATTGTGCAACACTGCTTGCCTGTGCCAAGATTTACTGGCACTCTGTGGGCACGAATAAAGCCCGTGCCCTTTGCAATTCAATTAGACAAAAAGATACGGGTGGTGACTAATTAACAGAAAGTGGCAGGTAATTAAGCCACTGAAAAATAACGCTTGCCTTCCCCTAGAACAGATCAGAATAAAACTCCCTCGTTCAAAGGGCTTTTATGCTATCTGCAAAGCTGAGAATACAATAAATCCTTTCTTCTCAGTATCTCCAAAATAAGCTTAGCTACATTTCTAGCACGGCAAGCCGGAAAGTTTCATTATATTCTTAAATTCTGACTGAAAAAATTCCTTTTAAGTTTCTGGAGCTTGTTGCTCTCTGTTCCTATTTTTCCTGTCTTGTTCTCTCCATTCCTGTCCTGGCAGTATCGGCAGTCCTCAGCTTACGACCACAACGGAGCCCCACATTTTTTGTTGTTAAGTGAGACCTTGGGGCAGTCAGCTTTGCCCCATCTTACGACTTTCCTTGCCACTGTTGTTAAGTGAATCACTGCACTTGCTAAATTAGTAACATGGTTGTTAAGTGAATCTGACTTCTCCATGGACTTTGAGGGCGCAAAAGGGGATCACGTGATCCCGGGACATTGCAATCGTCGTGGCCAAGCATCCGAATTTGGATCACGTGACTATGGGGACGCTGCGACGGTCGTAAGGGTGAAAAAACAGTCACAAGTCCCCTTTTACAGTGTCATTGTAACTTTCCACGGTCACAACTCTGCTAAATAAGATAAAAGTAAAATTTTAAAAAATTGAAATACTATTTTTCTGTTTTTTTTTAAAGGTCCTAAAAAATCAGGTGTGTCTGACATTAACAACCGTTTGGCTTAGCAAGGGAAATTCTGGCCCCAATTGAAGTCATAAATCAAGGATTTATCTGGAGTGGATTACAATCCAAGGAAAAGCAAAATATTTCCTGATGGTAGAAATGCTTTTTTCTTTTGCTTAGATATTCTGTGTTTTCTCCGGAGATTTTGTGTTTGTGTGTGTGTGTGTCCTTTCACCTCCTTGAAAGCTTGGGGCCTGGGGCATAAAAAAAAAGGAGCAAGGGGGGGGGGGGAAAATTCCACTGACCTTGTTGTCTATCAACCCAAAGAACTGCCTCGTTGTCTTTTTCCACAGTCCACCGGACATCGTAACTCACTAAGAAATTCAAGACCTCGGAAACTTTCTGATGCTGCAATATTTGAACCAAACGGGTTAGCCAACCTGAAAAGGTGTGTCTGTAAGGTTTCTTTGACAGCTCTTGGGTTTCCTACATGGGGAAAAATCCCCTGCTTGCTCTTAGACGCCCAAGGACTGCTATTCAGTCCTTCCTGGAAGAAAACCAGAAGATAGAATAATAGGCTTGGAAGGGACCTTGGAGGTCTTCTAGTCCAACCCCCTGCACAAACAGATTCCAGACAAGTGGCTGTCCAATCTCTCCTTAAAAACTTCCAGTATTCTGGGTTGCTTCTCTCCTTGATTAGTTTCCATCTGTTGCTGGTTCTCCTGCTTTCAGGTGCTTTGGAGGATAGGTTGATCCCCTCTTCTTCGTGGCAGCGCCTCAAATATTGGAAGGCTGCTATCATGTCACTGTTAGTCCTTTTTATTAAACTGGACATATCCAATTCCTGCAACTGTTCTTCATACAGTATGTTTTAGCCTCCAGTCCTCACTCTATCTAATATCTAATATCTATCTATCTCTCTATCTCTATCACATCTAATTTATCTATTTCTATCTCTCTCTCTCTCTCTCTCTCTCTCTCTCTATCTATCTATCTATCTATCTATCTATCTATCTATCTATCTCTATCTATCTATCTATCTATCTATCTATCACATCTATCTAATTTATCTATCTCTATCTATCTATCTATCTATCTATCTATCTATCTATCTATCTATCTATCTATCTATCTATCTATCTATCATCTACCTACCTAGCTATTGATCTAATGATCTATTGATTTGTTGTCTGAGATGGTATAAGACAGGTTCTCCTGCTTGAGCAGGAGGCTGGACTAGAAGACCTCCAATGTCCCTTCCAGCTCTGTTATTCTATTCTATTCTATTCTATTCTATTCTATTCTATTCTATTCTATTCTATTCTATTCCATGACTTGTGGACTTCAACTCCCAGAATTCCTGAGCCAGCATGAGGGAAACTTTGGCTCCTTTATGACTTGCAGACTTCAACTCCCAGAATTCCTGAGCCAGCATGAGGGAAACTTTGGCCCCTTCATGACTTGTGGACTTCAACTCCCAGAATTCCTGAGCCAGCATGAGGGAAACTTTGGCCCCTTCATGACTTGTGGACTTCAACTCCCAGAATTCCTGAGCCAGCATGAGTGAAACTTTGGCCCCTTCATGACTCGTGGACTTCAACTCCCAGAATTCCTGAGCCAGCATGGCTCAGCTTGGAAACCTCTCCCTTTCCCCTCAGCGTGGCTGGCTCAGGAACACTGGGAGTTGAAGTCCACGAGTCATAAAAGAGCCAAGGTTGCCTACCCCTGCCCTTGGGGATGCTGCAGCGGTCGTAAGTGTGAAGAACAGTCATAAGTCACTTTTCCAATGTCGTCATAACTTTTAACGGTCACTAAACGAAGTGCTGAAATTCGAGAACTACCCATACCTGAAGAGCCATTCCCTGGGATGAACCTTCTGCTTAATTCAAGTATTCACGACTCTTTCGGGGTCCTGGGTGATTTCAGCCCTTTTTTATTTTCTAAGAAAGGTTACAGGATCCATTGGGAGCACGGAGTTATTTTTGGAAATAAAAGAGTATGCTTAAGTCCTGATAGATTGTGCCTTTATTTTTAGCATGCTTTATTCAATCTCACTCAGCATGAACAAAAAAGGCCAAACTGTTCTTTAGGACTGCATGGAAGAGAGGGAGGATAAGGTCATGCAAAATTCTGTTTTTTCTGCTTTTCTGCCTCCAGAAGCCGTGAATGCTCCAACACTGGAAGTTTTTAAGAAGAGACTGGACAGCCATTTGTCTGAAATGGTAGAGGGTTTCCTGCCTGAGCAGGGTGTTGGACTAGATGACCTCCAAGGTCCCTTCCAACTTTATTATTATTATTATTATTATTATTATTATTATTATTATTATTATTATTATTATTATTATTATTATTATTATTATGGATCATCGCACAGTCAGCCAGATGTTGACTGGATTTGGCATTTTGTCTAGCTATCGAGTCCTTACCAAGGACCTGGGATAGGCAGATGTGGATGTTTGATGGTATTACAAATATCGTCGCAGGATGGAAGCAGTTCCTAGTAAGGCCACCTTTTGCAATTGACTAATGGCAAATTTGTCAATGCCAATGGTGTTCAAGTGGTGCTCCAGTTGTTTTGGGATTGCACCCAAGGTGCCTATTACTATTGGTAATACCCTTGCTTGCTTTTGCCACAATCTTTCTATTTCTATTTGTAGGTCTTTGTATTTTGTTATCTTCTCCAGTTCTTTCTTGTCTATTCTGCTGTCTTCATGTACTGCCACGTCCACTATCCAGACTTTTTTGTCTCTCTTATCGACAATTGTTAAGTCCGGGGTGTTATGTTGCAGTTGCTTGTCTGTTTGAATTCTGAAGTCCCAGAGCAGTTTAATTTTATCATTTTCTATGACTTTCTCTATTTTATGATCCCACCAGCTCTTGCTTATAGGCAAATGATGATATTATTATTATTATTATTATTATTATTATTATTATTATTATTATTATTATTATTATTATTATTATTATTATTATTATTATTAGAAGAAGAAGAAGAACTTTGCAAGATAGAATTTTCCATGAACCTTAGTTT